CAAGAACACAGGCAGACCAGACAGAATTCTGAGAGTACTGTGCAGCGGCAACAGGAGAGAAATCCCATGAACTTGTCACACTTCTTGCTCTGTAACTCTGTGCAGTCTGCAAGTTGCACGGGGTGCCATTAACGCAGAAGTGTGCGGCACCACGAACGGAGCCCCTCACACAACACCACCCCTGTGCTCTGCTCTCCCCTACCACCCACCTTCATCCACTGATTCATTTACATCACACAAGCGCGACACACTAGCAGGTTAAATTTGCTAATAAATAAGGATGTGAGCATGTTATACCTACTTAGTATTCAGTTTGCTCTTTTATAAATGATCTGGTAGAGAATCAGGCCCTCCTCTCCCCCTCTAGCTGACTCTCATCTGATTCTAATTCAATTTCTCTGCCTATTGTTTATTTCACCGCTCCCCTGTGAAGTGTCAAATGCTGATGTTCCGTCAGCCCAGAACTGTCGTTTATATTTGTCATTCAGTCCTTGTTAAAAAATAAAACAGGACTGCGCCTGCCTTGGCGCGCTCTGCCTGGGAATTCCCTGTGGTAAAATTAGTCCATTTAGATGGAAAGTTTTGTGTCACTCCCCTGTCTAAATTGGCAGATCTGGCTCTTTTGCAAAAACCAATAAACTGTGAACCTTGATGCATCTGTCAATCAAACTCATATTTCATGAGCAAAGCCAGATGACAACAAAAGCTGGGCAGGCTCCTCCGATTGGCTCTTCTCATTTAGGCATATCAGGAGGCACCTGTCACTCCTCCGGCTCCGCACCGCGCTCGGGGGGACTCCGTTCACGGGGCGCTGAGCCCTTCCTGGGGGCTGGGCTGGGCCAGGAGGAGCACGAAGGGGGAGTTCAGCTCCTCGGCTGCAATAGATCTGCAGCTTGGCTCCTTCCTCACGACTCTGGTGAGAGGCGAGGAACTGGCATCACCTTTTGTTTCGGCTGTTTTTTCCCCACATATTGAGCAAAAACTTTGTATTACGTTCTGCGGGTTTTATAGTGGTTAAAAGGATAAAGCGAGAGCGTCAAAAATGATGTGCTGTTTCTCTGGGGACTGAGCCACAATGCCACGGAGGAGGAGGGGACATATCCCGAAGCCATCCCAAAGCTGCTGCATGTACTGCATGTGCTGCACCCTGCACCCAGCGCAGCGATGTGCAGGGACTGTGTTCCCACCGCTCTGCTCAGTGAGGAGGGGTCTGCAGCTGGGCACATCGACTGAGTGAAGGGAAGTGTTTGTTATGTAAGCATGAGAGAGGCACAAAAACGGCAGCAAACAGCATCAGTTCACCCAAGGCCCTGGGAGGAGTGGACGAGCCCAGGAGCTGATGATACTGTAGGAATGGTCTCCCAAGAGTTCCGGCTTGGAGGAAAACTCACCATACCCAGTTTTCTATGGAAAATTCTGAATTCTGCTGTCTGTACCAAAGAATGATGCAAAATTTTTCTTACTGTTTCAGTTGCACTCAAAAGAGAATTTAGCCTAATTTTTCAAAATACAATCATTTGCATATTTGCATTAGGTTGCCACCGAACCGTTCCAGAAACCTGCACTTCCACAGAGCTCTGCCTGATGACGGATTTATGTCATCTCCTAAGCACCCCATCACAAACTCCATCTCATGCACCTGTATTTTCTCTACCCACTTTGTTTTGCTGAGAGCAGCTCTGCCATCATATGTCACTTACAATGCTTGCAGATATCAGTGTAATTCTCTAGGCAGTGCAGCAAGCAGACAGTGCCTTTTAAACCAGGCTGGTACATTACCGATTCCAAGTGGTGAAAATGTTGTGTTTTGCTTCAGTTAAATATATATGATACAAGATGAAAATCTCAGCCTTCTTAAACAGTTGTGAGTTCATTGGTTTCACCAATCAGTTTCAAGTACAGGCTCAAACAGACAAGACAAAAAAACCAAAGAACTCTTAACGACATCTAAGCTCATTGCATTATTCTTACAGGTGGCGGATAGCATTTGTTGCTTACTGAGTGTTTGAGACTTGCCAAACCAGGCATACAAAGTGCTGGTTTCCATGCAATAAAACACTGACCAGATTACACCAGCTGGCACACATATACACCTCTGCTGGGCTAAGCACATAAGGTCAGAATACGATCTGTACATTGCTGCTTAGGACTGTGAAAAAACTGCCAAAATACTGCTGCTAGCAGGCAGCTTCAGGGGTGCTGAATGTACACACGGAGCAGTACAGCCACAGGCTGCAGCCGTGGAAGGAAACTACAGGCCTTAGGCACTGTCATTATGAACCATGTCACAAGATCATCTAGAAATACTGAGAAAAAGAGTCCGCGTTTTGCGTACTGTGCAACTAAGACATCATTCCTGTCCTGAAATAGCGAGGGGAAGTGCTGCTCTTCTGATCATTGGCAGAACGAGAACGACCCATCAGTCTCGTCAGAGATCCTCCTCTAGGCAGACATGAAGAAAAGCAAAGAGGGACGTTCACTACCAGCCCAGCAGAAGGGTGCTGGGATGAGATCATGTTCTTAGAAGGGACTAGAGGTGGTTTCTCATACCCACCTTACTGACATACTATGAAAAGTCTGGCACATCCTGGAGGAAATAAATGAAAGACAACGAATCTTCAAAACAGGTTTTCTACTTGCTGCATCCCTTTACAGCAGGGGCATGCTAGCACAAAATGTAAAGAAAGTCTGAGCAAATCCACTGGAAATGCTGTGACAAAACCTAAGAGAAACTTCAGGCTATCACATAGTGGAAAGCAAGCTCAGACAGACAGCTCAAGAAGCACACTGACAGCCCAAAGAAAGGTCATAAAGCTGTTAAGACAGGGAGAGACTTGGCCAAGATTCCCAGAAGGAACACTCTAAAAAGTAATCTGTATTCAGGGATCTGAACAAAGAGCACAACTTCCCCAAATCACGGACAGCCTAGTGCTTTCCCAGTTCATCAGCTATTTGCTCTTTTTGCAGACGCACTCAGGATTGGAGCACAGTTTTTTCCCATGATTTATTCCCTGGTCAGTATTCTGCTTTGAGGACTTAGTGGCCAGAAATCATTGAGAAACTGGCCCACCTTCTGAACTGTATTTTGTCCCTTAGTTTCACCTTTGTCAGAATATTTCAGAAGCTCTGTTTCCACATTTGTGACTAGTCCTTAATGGCTCCAGGTCTGAGCCTGATATGCATAGGTCACTATTTTTACCTTTAAGTTTTACTATAAATCAGGAAGGACTTCATTACATCCCTTTCTCAACTATTTGATTGCATTCCCTATCTGTGTATCAGGTGATCGATCACTTGTGTTAGATTTAGGTTATTACTGCCTGTAGCAGGAATTCTTTTACTGTTTTGTTTTTGTAGAGCTGGTGAGGTAGCAGGTTGCTGGCCCCCAACCAGGGCCTGGGACCCTAATTGCCACAGCAAAATACAGCCATAAACAGAAAACATTTTATTGGAAAAGGCCACAAAGTACCATCCATGGGAAACATCCTGGTGATGTCAAACGTCTTTTCCCTGGAGGTAACTTCTCTGTTATTACTGACTTCCCAGAAAATCCTGCTCCAGGTCAAGATTCCACTAAGTAAATCCCCATAAAAAAGAGGGGAAGCAGAGTGGAAGCAAAACCAAAAGGAACTTAAAACAGCCTTTGATTGTGGAAACCAGGCGGTCTCTTCATCAGTATCTCCAATATTGCTCTGTATCTGTTCTTATCTTTGGGTACGGGTTGTCCGTTGTGATCCATTACTGTTTGTTTATTCATGTGTTTTTCCTCTTCATATGTATTTTGTTTGTCTGATACAGAGAAAGCAAAAAATCAATAATATTTTTATATGCTCTGAGACCTATTTGCCTTCACAAACTGTGACTGAGAACAAACGTCAACTGTTGTTTCAGAAGAGAAGGAGACGTCAGAATGTGTGGGAATGGTGGTGGACAATTCACCTAAATTACAGCCCAGACTGAAGAGGTCAAAGAGAGAAGAATGTGGGTTTGACTAAGAGAGTCTGAAAACAAAAGCATCACGTATCACCCTTTGCATCATGACCCACACCTCCTCTGTGGAGGATATTCCATGCCTACAACAAAGATGGTTCCTTCAGGCTCTCAAAGTAGTAAATTATTACTCACAGCAGTTTCTGCTATTGAATTCCAGCATTCCCCCAGTGTTTGATAATGCACGACACTGACAGCAACCAACTGGATGCAGTCATCTACGGCACTCAGCTCTAGCAAAGACATTTTAACTTTCTGTCCAAGAGTACCACATTTTCTCAGTACTACAGCCACGTGGATATTTATCTACTCAAGTCCCTCAGACTCACTGGAAAGCTCTGGTTTAGCTCAGTTAATGCCATAATAACGATATGACAAGTTACTTCTGTCATGTTAAAAGAGAAAGACCAACTGCAAATTCTTCTCTCTGCAAAGAGAGAATTGGCCAACCCTGTTTATGATTAAGTATCGGGTTGGCTAGGAGATTAGTCCTCAGAATTTCCTTTCACCAACAATACACAGAACCTGGTAAAGACGAGTTGCTATGTAGATTAGCACCATCTCCCCAACATACTGAGGATTCCTGCTCCTCTTCCAAGATCAGGCACTGGTGTTGTCTTAGAACACATGTAAGGATCTTTAGGAGCAACAGACTTCCCACAGCTTCAACTGGAATCAGGAGTGCAGCAAAGGTTCTCAGGAATCTCTTACTGATCAAACCATAAATCTTCCTTACAATTCTCATGTAACTATAAAAAATTGTTTTGCATGATCACGATCTACAACTTTCTTCAAACCTCCATTCCAGATTAATCAATTCAAAACAGGGTAAAGTATTTTTATCGTTCCACTATTTTCCATGTCAAGCATACAACAATCTTTACCACGTTCTTTTGGGCTCCAGGCAGTAATCTTAGCTCAACAATTCGTTTGGAAATTCTTCCAAATTCAAAGCCTTTCACATCTTTATGAATGTTCTGTTCTGTTTCACAATTATGCCATTTTCTTACCTTTATCTGTGCTCCGTGCAGTCTGTTGCTGTGCTGCTCAGGGCATTCTTTGACTTCTGCATCCCCTGGTGTCAGGAAGACTCTTAATTGGAATTCATCACAATGGTTCCTGAACATTCCCCTACAGCCACGCCAGAGGCTTCCTTAACAGAACCATAACCTGTAGGTCACAAGAACACAAGAAAAAGAAGACACTTGATTAGATTACAAAGCAGCAAATTCAAAGCTGGTTAAAATTTTCCCCCAATAGCTTTTATTTTGACCAGCTGAATTTGTAACCACAGGAAGTCGTCAAGATTCCAGAAAAAAAACCCGAACATTACAGCTTAGCATTCAACAAGCATTCTGGAAACATATTAGCATTTCTGGGATTAAGCCAATTGCAAGCTGCTTGAGCTCCCACTAAACTGCAGATTCCTCCTACATCTGCCCATTGCGTAGTTCTTCCGCCTTCCTTTTAAGAATCTGTTAAGATTACTCCTAGAGATCATAGACTTTACAAACCATGAGCCCGGCCCACTCTTACAAACCCCATGTTCTTAAATCCACAGATTTAGCATTCAAAGTGAGGAATCAGCCTGTGTGTCTGGCCTATATTCTGATAAATGCTGAAGAAGCTTGTATGTTGATAAATTTTTAAGTTGTCTATCTTGCTATCAAGTCTATCTTGCTGCTGCATCCTATAAAAACTTCTCTGTTTCTGTCCCAGAGGCTCAGCAACACAAGTGAAACATGCTCATTTGCTCTATTAATGTGTCCTGTGTCATGTTCACCTGACTGGCTCAGGACAGCCTGATCATAATCACTTTTCTCATAGCTTGATTTGCCTTCTGCATCCACTACTGTCAATCAGAAGTCTAAAGCCAGAAGAGCTACACTCGTGTAAACTGTGTATAAGTGAAGCTGGAATCAGGCATTGACTTTTAAGATAGCTGTTTTCAAGTTCATTGCCACAGCTACCCCAGAGGAGACTCCTAGCACACTGTGATCATCTTGTCTGGCCTCTGATATGAGATACCCATAGGGCTGCTCTGAATTAATTCCTGCTGCAGGTTCTGTAACTGAGGTTGAGCTGGGGAGCCTGTTTCAGAGGAACATTCACTATTATATAGAAAGGTTCTAGTGCTGGAAAATATACTGAACCCGAGCTAAAATATTTTGACAGGTGATTACCTGCACTGCTGAAAACACAACACGTTATTTCTGGTTGAATATACCTACTATCAAGCACAGCTGCTTTGGATCTGTGTATACCAGGCTGCAGAGCCTTCACTACCAACCCTTATATTCTTCACCCTGGCATTTATAAGCTATAACATTGCTAATCTTGTTTCTATTGAGAAAAAATACACTCTACAATTAATGTATATCTAGACTTCATGTTCTAGTCTTTATAAAAAGGCCTTTAACTCCCATGCAAGCTCCTTCTCATCAGCAATCAAGAATGCTTCTGCTCTGTGGGATTTAGCTAACTGGAATCTCATTTCACAGACATCCCCAGTTCAAGCTAGTCTTTTCTAGGCACTGCATACATCTCCCAGATTCTCTGATTTAAGTTTATCTGTTCGCTTGACCTCCAGACAGAGAAGTCACTGCTTGGGTATTGTTGCCACCATTGACAATCGCTTTTAGTTTCTGCGTACATTTTTGTTTTTTGCCTTACCAAACTACAGCAAAATGCTGGTCTTCACTGTAAACAGCTTACACTTTAGGATCTCTTAACAAAAATAGCTACATTCATGCACTTCCTCCATAGAAGGCTATCTGAAGTCATGACTGTTGTTCTGGATCCTCTCAGCTCCAGTGCAACTATTTCTAGATTGGACTCTGCACTACAGATGAGTCACGATCTGTTTCACTGCAATGGAACCCTGTTGCAAAAGCCTTCAGAAGGAGTTGCCTGCACCATTTCCTTGGAGTAGCCATACCAAGAGAAGGATAATGAAAGTATTTTAAAATAAGTCTTCTCTTTACCCATGACATCTTCACACAGTTATCTTTTCCTATACGTTTCCTTCTAGTGCTGTAACTGTAACTGGCTTTCCGACTTGTAGGGGTCCTACAGTGTCTCTCAAATTCTCCTCTGAAGTTTGCTTGTGCCACCTTCCTGCTTCCTACATCTCTCATTCTACCTGCTCCCACTCAGCACTAGATCTAGTTAGCATCTGGAACATGCTAGGAACTAAATCCATAAGGCAGAGTCACAACATTTTAATGACAATGCAGTTACAATGTAATTTTAATTACATCAGGAAGTCCTTCATGGTACCCATCTTGGAAGATGTGAAATGATATCATTTGAGGCTCTTAAAGCCACACATGGGATCAGGCACCCCCTTCTGATCCACAATGAGGGAAGCTGAGGACCCAAATTGCTGATGTCTTTCTATAGGGTATCACCCATTGGCTATCCCCAACCAGCAGACACCGATGCACACTGTAAGATGCTGAATGCCATTGAGCACCTGCTGAAACAGTGTTGGGGCACCCATCAGCATGCTGGGGGTTAAGTGGATCTGTTCTGAGCTCCCAACCCATTCTGTTATGAGAGTAAAGTAGGGATCCAGGCAATACACATGGAGGCTTGAGGCTGAGCCCCAGAGATAACACAAAAATACTCGCTTTTTCTCAAGTCATTTTTCCCCCAAGCCGTGGTGCAAACTGTGGAAAAGCAGCATTCCATGCCTCCCCTCCACTTCTTCCCATCCCTCTTGTGAGTGAGCCACTGCTCTGAATTGGGCCGCAGGGAGTCAAGGAGGAACAGGGTTTAACCTGTCTCTCATTTTATTTTTTTAAACAATCTCCTCCTCCACCTCCTCTTTCTTCTCCTCCTCTTCTTCCTCCTCCTCCCGCCCACCCCCACCTTGTCCATCTCCCCTCATCCCACTCGCACACCACTCCCCCCCTTTACCGGTATCCAACACTGTCAACCCAAACACATGATAAATTGCCCTGTCAACAGAATTCATTCAGGGACCAATTAATTCCACAGAAATGAACCAGGAGCCATCAGTTGCTGAAAAACTCCAAGTGCAGGGAGCGAGGAAGCTAGCTTTGTGAGAGAGAGAGAGAGAGAGAGAGAGGCTTGGGAAGTTAGTCTGACAGAAATTGGTCATTTAATGCTTAAGTGCACCGTAGACAGCCCTGTCATAGCAGCCGGCATGGCAAAAACTCCCCCAGTGCTTTATTTATTAATTATGTGGAGCAGCACGGGGGTCACTTCACTGTCTCGATACAGACTCATCAACTTTACTTCTTGTCACCGGAGGAGGTCCCTCAGCATGTGGGACAGCGGGCCGCATCGCGCTTCTGCCTCTGCCACCGCGCTATGACACAGCCTGAAGCAAGTTTGCAGGAGCAACACCTGTGCCCTCAGCACGAGTGGGCAGCGGCAGGCGGGGCAGCAAGAACAGCACAAGTGGGAGCCAACCATCATCCTGCCGCTGCCCGGCTCCAGAGCAGAGGTGGTGGGAGCCTGGAGATTTCATTTGCAAAGCTTCCTCATTATCCTCCTTCACATTCTCCTTAGCCATGATGCCTGCAAAAATCTGACAGCAGTTAGGCTGCTGATGTATTATGAGTACTGCCTATCCTGCTGATCAATAGCGTCTCACTGCTCCGCGCTCTATTCCCTCAGCTGTCTTTGCTATCCACTACTGCTTGACTCATAGCTGTGAGCTCTCTGAGGGCAGGACCATCTTTCTCCTCCGTGCCAGTGCAGCACCAGGCAACGCCCAGTCCTGCTCTCTGAGGAGCGCTCCTGAAGTGCTCCATAGTAACAGAAATAATTATTCTGTCCTTTTACGGAGCCAAAGAAAATAAGGCTGGAGAGGACTGTGGGAAATATCAAGACCATGCAGACCACATGCCTGCCAAGGCAGGATCAACCGTAGTTGAACTATTTCTAAATCTTTTTGTCTAGCTTCTTTGTCATGCCCTTTCCACCCTGCTGTGTGTTTAGGACTTGAAAACATTCATTTCCCCCTGAGAAAAAAACATGAAACCAGGCCTCAAGGTGCATCTCCATGTTTAAGCAAGAAACAGAATTATGTCCCCGCCATTTGGCAGAGATGAACAAGTGAGGCACGTGCTGCTTTTCATATTCTCCTACTGGTTGGAAAGCAGTCAGATGCTTTCTAGAGTAACTCAGTAAAACGCGTATTTCCCAGTATTTCCCAATCCTCCACATAAAAGCTCAAGAACACAAAGAAGTCTTGGCAGTGATGTCGCGCTGGCACGGCTGATTCGTGCAGTACAGTGAAAAGAGACCCCCTCACTCCACACCTGATTCACAGTCATTAAGGTTGGAAAAGAGCTCCGAGATCATCCAGTCCAACATCAACCCACCCCACCGTGCCCACTAACCACGTCCCTCAGTGCCACAGCTGCTCTTTCCTTGAACGCCTCCCTGGGCAGCCTGTGCAGCGCACTGCCACCTTCTGAGAACAAATATCCCAATACCCAACCCGAACTTCTCTTGGCCCTGCTTAAGGCCATTACTTCTCATCCTTTTACTAGATCAGCAGCGCCCAGCAAAGCCATGGTGCCTGACCACTTCCAGTACGCGTTATCTGCTCCAGTGCCTGAAGATGAGTCGTGCTTCAAAATTTTGGGTTTTCGGGCTGGATTTTTCAGCTTTTGGGAATGTTCAGATATGGGACTTAAGCACATTCCTTCTGCAGGTGTCTCTCTGTATGTCTGTCCCCCCATGCTGATCAGTGCACCAGGGACACACAAATGGCAACAACAGCCTGAATGGGGGGAAACACTGCAGTTCCATCTTAGTGAAAAACCATTGCCTTCACCTGTCCCAGCCCCAGCATGGTCTGCTGTAAGGCATAGTAGCTTGTGGTACTAATAGGAATGGGAGGGTGGTTGGACTAGATGATCTTCCAGGTCGTTTCCAACCTTGTGATTCTGTGTGAAGGCAAGAAATCCTTGTGTTGCCCTGTGCCATGGCAAACCCAGGGTAGGACAAGTTAGCAGGTCAGACGCACCTTCAGTTTTCTAAGAGAGCTTCTGGTTTTTCACAGCACATCAGCTATAGGCTGCCGTGACAAACTACAAGTGCACCCTGCCGCGTTGGAGCTACCAGTCAGAGCCTCACCAGACAGCTTCCCTGAGCCTGGAGCAGCCTGATGCTGTCACAGCTCCACAACC